TCTTATTTGATCCTCACAACAACTGAGAGAGGTGGCTGCTATTATTATCCCCATCTTACAGTTAAGGAAACTGAGGTAGAAAAAAGTTAGCTGACTAGCCCAGGGTCACACAACTAGTAAGTGTCTGAGGCTGAATTTGAACTCAGGTCTTTCTGACTCCATGCCCAGCACTCCATTTACTGCACTAGCTACTATAAAATGAGGATGATAATAGCAGCTAGCTCAGATGGTAGGTGTGAAAATCAAATGAGAATTACATCATTTGTATAAAGCACTTTGCAGAACAAAGCATTGTATAAATGTTAACTCATTATCCTCATCATTCTTGTTGTGGTGGTTGTTAAAGACAATAGGATGTGGTGTACTGGGCAGGGTTGTCCTCATAACCAGAAAAGTCTGGATTCATTCTTTGTGCTTGTCATACCTTGGCTGTGTGACTCTGGGCAAGTCACTTACCCTCAGTGAATCAGGAAGTACTTTAAGATTCTAAATGTTAAAAAAGGTTGCTCACTGGCTTGGTCAAGAAGTTTACTTATCTAGGTGTTCTCTAACTCCCTGTCCATATAGCATTGTTATTATTGCTAATATTGGTTATTATTTTAATGCTCGATCTTAGAAATACAAAGACAATTTCTGTTCTTAAGAAGCTAGCACATTCTCCTCTGACCTAAACCCAGTGCCTGGTACCTTATAGGCACTTAATAAATGTTGATCGATTGAGTGATTGGTTCTAGAGAAAACAACTTGTCCATAGATATGCCAATACGCAGTATATGCCCAATAATATAAAGTGATTTCAAGCGCCTTGAGTTTCCATAGCAATTTCCTTATAATATCCCTCTGGACTGCTCAGTGGGATTCTAATTTTCCCCATCTACCCGTCAGTTATTCAACAAACATTTATTAAATATCTGCCATCAGTCAGACACTGTGCTAACAAGGCACTAGAGATACAAGAATGATGCATGGAACAAGCCCTAAGAGCAAATGAAGATTTTTGGATACTAATTGCCTGATTTCTGGTTACACAGCTGCTAAGCGTGCCTGCATCAGGCCTCTCCTACCCATGTCCTGATGATTTTCATGTTTTATCATTATCCCCATCAGGTGAGAGGGACAATTGTTTTCATATCTGTGCTTTCCCACCCCATCCCTCAATCTGGGCACACAGACCTACGAAAGTATTCCAGCTCTGAGCTTTTTCAGGGCTCCTTACAACCCTCTTTTTTCCTCTTACAACCCCTTCAGTATTTCTTAAACTGGAGGTCCTGACCCCAAACCAAAACTTTAAGAAGCACTGCTTAAGTGCTGAAAGAAGTAATATTCACAGATTAATGTCCCGAAGGAGGTCACGTTCCTCCCACTACATAATATTGCTTGATGATCTCACAAGCCCCAATGGGTTCCATTAACCTTCCTGGGCACGTGATTCCTAGATTTTTCCATGCTCTCAACTCTCTCCTGATCTTCAGTCTAGCATTTCCAGCTGCCTGTTGGACATCGCAAACTGGATGCCTTATAGAAATCTCAAACTCAACAAATCCCAAACTGAACTCATTATCTTTCTGCCCAACTCTCCCCTCTTCCTAATTTCCCTACTACTAGCAAGGACGCTGCCATTCTCTTGGAGGTTCCCGGGAGCACAGCCTTTCTGGTCTTCTCACTCTCACTCCCATAGCCAATCAGTTGCCAAATGCTCCATGGGCCTCATCTTCCTCATCTGTGAAAACAAGAGACTTGGATTAGATGGCCATTGAATTCCTTTCTAGATTTATAGCTATGAGTTTATAGTAAGAATTGTCTAGAGCTCTGAGAGATGATGATTTACAAGATCACATGGAATATTTCAAAGGTAAGACTTGAACACAAGTCTTCCCTATCCCCAAGGCCAGTTGTCTATGCACTCTGCTGAATTTCCTCTACAGAAGCCTTTTTGGTTAGGCTTTTCACCACTAAAGGAATGCATTGTACTAAGTGTATACTTCGTCTCTGCTGACCAAATCCCTCTTTTGACTTGAACAAAATATTAGAATAAATAGTGAGTCATGTGCAGTGAATATGGGGAGTGGGGAGTGATAAATAGCTAAGGTTTATAAGAAACAGAACACAGTAGAATAACTTGATAACCTTCCCTGACAAAATGACAGGATGAGAGTAAGAGAATTTGTTGAAACTAAATTATTCAGAAGCTACAGAGGCTGATGCTGTATTGGGGAGGGAAATTGGAAAGGTGATGTCTCAAAAATCCTGCAGGGAGAACCCACAGAGTAACTAATAATGAAATATCCAATTGGGTCGAGGCTCCAAAGTGGAGAACTGATCCCATTAATTCCTGTGAAGAGAAAGTAAATAGCACTGTGATCCTATCAGCTGACAGTTTCAGCAAAGAAGGACTACAGAGAGATCAGAGGAGAGATAAAAATTACTCAGCATGCTGGAGGTCTCAGAGGAATGGGGAAATTAATATCAGATAAGAGGCAGCTTAAATAAATGTAAAAGATCCCACCACAGCAGGGGAGTCAATCCAAGTACAAGGGGAACACTGTTTAAAGATCCATGAGATGAGACTATATGAGAGGACATTAGTGGGTTAGAAATTGGGTTGTTATTTTGGCAATGATTACAACTCAGCTTCCCAAGGTTGGTCACGGGGGAAAGGCTTGAGACAGTGACAAAAAACAAGCAGAGGGCTGTGTATTCTGGGCTGACCCCCCAGGAAGCTGGAGTAGTTTTAATGAGCACAGCCCATACCAACTATCGTACATTTTACTTGTCTGCATAGGAGACATAATACCTAAGGACAATGGAAGCCTCTTTAGTCATTTCTCGTAGGTCCCCACTATTCATGCGTTTATTGGGAATGTAGCTCAGAGCTTAGTAGCAAAGGATTATGATGTGAAGTGTATCCCTACAGCAGCGAATGCCTTCCACTCTAATATTACTAAATTTCTATGTGTCTTATAAAAAAAGGCACTTTGCCTCATTCCTTAGGGTATAGGTTGCCTCAGTGGGGGACAATTTTTAATTAGATATTGTTATTATTTTTGATATTACTGCCTTTCTTTGAATCCAAAGCACTCAGTGCAGTGGCAGGCACATAGTGTGTGCTTATAGGGGGAAGCTAGATGGCTTGGTGGGTAGAGCTCTGGGCCTGGACTCAGGAAGACCTGAGTTCAAATATGGCCTCAGACACCTACAAGCTATATGACCCTGGGCAAGTCACTTAACCTCTGTTTGCTTTAATTGGTTTTGCTTTAAGCAGGAGAACAAAATGGCAAACCATTCCAACATCTTTGCCAAGAAAACCCCATGAACAGGATTGCCCATGTGGTCACAGAGAGGCAGACATGACTGCACAACATGTGCTTAATAAACATTTGTTGAATGACTCTTTCAATAATGCACAAATGGAAAACTTTCGACTATTGAGTTCTTACAAGTTACATCCTTTGGATTCACAGGGAGAGATACAGTAGCTATGCTCTAATTGGGTAGATGCGTAGCAAATAACTATACTGGTGTGGAGACAAATTTAAGTTCAATGTAAGGAAAACAACCCTATCTCTTAGAATTATCCCAAGTGAAATGCACCATCTTGGGAGATAGTGCGTTCCTCTTCAAAGGAAGGAAGTGTTTAAGTAGATGATGAAAGATCATTTGACAAGGATGTCATAGGGGAAATTTCTGTTCAAGTCTGGGTTGGCTTCAATGACTGCTGAGGTTCCTTGTAGCCCTGAGAGTCTAGGATATTTGCATTTGAGCTAAGCAAGTCCTTAGAATTAGGAAAAGCCATGTTCTAGAACTCATTTCTTATGGAAAGTAGGTATGTAAAAATAGGGACCTGATTTGGACTAATAGAAAGAAAAAAAAGAAAAAAAAACTTGAATAAAGTCTTAGAATTATAGACCCAGAGCTAGAAGAGACTGAGAAAAGCATGTACATTAACCCACTCATCCTATAAATAAGAACACTGAAGTACAAACCATAAGTTGTTGAGGCAGGATTTCAACCCAGGTCTCCAAATCCAATGCTCTTTTCACTTCACTGCCCTGATCTTATTTGACTTGTTCAGCAATTATTTTACTGCCAAAGCTGGCTGCTCTTTAACTATGTGCTCTTAGAACCTATTTTGCTAATCCATATTAACCTACAGGAAAAATGGGGCGGGGAGGGGACAAGAGAGCAGGGGGGCTGATAGAGGGAAAGGCAGATTGGAGGAGGGAGTAATCAGAAACAAACACTTCTGGGGAGGAACAGGGTCAAAAGAGAGAATAGAATAAATGGGAGTGGGATAGGATGAAGGGAAATATATTTAGTTTTTCACAACATGAAAAAACCTATTTTGCTGATTTTTCTTAGTTTTGATCTTGTCTGTATGCTACATACATAGCCCCATTTCTTTTTTCCTCTTTGTGTCTTTCATCTCTAATACCTCACCAAGGTGTAGTGGCCATTCTATGTCCTCTGAAAACAAGGTCCTGCAAGTTCTGTCTTAGATCTTTCTGGATGGAGAGATAGAGACAGACTGAGCATATGGCCTCTGAGGACCCACCTAGCTATTAGGGAATAGGTTCATCACCAGGTTGGCCTCAGAGTGGATGAGTTATTCAGGTGTGGCAAATCTCAAAGACTATCATTTGCAAATTGTGTTAGTGAAAGTTATAATCGCAGTAATAAAAAACATTGAACATCAGTTCATTGGTGTATCCTTGTTCTGGCTAGCATTAAGATATTATTAATACCGAGAAAAAGTTTTGTACAAATCTCTTAAAATTTTATGATACTGGTTTTAACAATTGATTCTATTTTTCTTACATTTGTCCTGCTTGTGACCCTTTCATCAGTTCCCTGAATCATGGTTAACTGAATACATGCCCTCCCCCCCACTCCAATTTCCATCTTTTCTATTCTTCCTTTCAGTCTTTGGGGTTTGACAATCCTTTAGAAGCCATGCTTAATGGAAAGATTCATTTATAAATCATGGTCTTTTCTCTTTCTAGACTCCTGAGGAGCTGGAAGATATTTCAGATCTGGAAGAAGATCACGATGTCCGCAGTCACACCAGTGTTCAGACAGAAGGGAAGACAGACCGGGTAGGTGTCTTTGAAAAGGGATGAAAGCCTCTGTTGTGCTGGGATCGTGAAGCTAGGAAGCTCATAAAAACATGGATGGACATGGCAGCTGTCTTGCAGCAACTGGGGGAAAAGAAACACATTTCTGAAAATACAAAACAACAACAAAAAAGTGTTGTGTTCTTGAATATCTTTTTTTAATGTTCTTTTTTTTTTCTTTTGGTGAGGCAATTGGGGTCAAGTGACTTGCCCAAGGTCACACAGCTAGTAAGTGTCATATGTCTGAGGTAGATTTTAACTCAGGTCTTCCTGACTCCAAGGTTGGAGCTGTATCTACTGTGCCATCTAGCTGTCCCTGTTCTTGAATATCTTATAAATTATTTTGCATCCTCTCACCTGCTGAGGTTCCTTGTAGCCCTGAGAGTCCAGGATATTTGCATTTGAGCTAAGCAAATCCTTAGAATTAGGAAAAGCCATGTTCTAGATCTCATTTCTTATGGAAAGTAGGTATGTAAAAATAGGGACCTGTTTTTTTAGGGCTGGGGGCTGAAAAAAAAAAGCCCATTCCTTCCTCTGTGCTTGTCTCTAAAGCTCATAGGGCAACTGTTTTGCATAAGTCATTCTTTGGATGAGGATATCGAACTGAAACATTCACTTGTTAGTTTAGAGCAGGAAAGCTAAGCTGGATGAAATCATAACCATCTTCTAGATGATACAGGGGAAAAAAAAATGTTTCACGATGAAAGCTCCACCTCTCCGTCTTCTTAACTTCCTATACAAAATCAGAATGGCAAAGGGATTTTTGAGTTTCCTTAATCAGCCTTAAGCTTGGGACTACGTTTTTCTTTTTATTACATGCTTATTATGTGCCTCTCAGGGTGCTGATTTTGGTCCCTATGAGTGAGAATATGTTGTCGAGCTGACAACAAGAGAATAGAATAATAGAACAACAATAGAAGTGAACAATAGTAGCAATTCCCAATCATCTATTATGTTTCTGTTATTGTTTGTTGAGTCCTTTCAATCATGTCCCTCTTTCCAAGGTCCCATTTGGGGTCTTCTTGGCAAAGATGCTGGAGTGGTTTGCCATTTCCTTTTCCAGCTCATTTTACAGATGAGGAACTGAGGCAAGCAGGATTAAGTGACTTGCCCAGGGGCACATGGCTAGCAAGTGTCTGAGGCCAGATTTGAACTGGATCTAACGTTCATTAAGTAACAAGCATTCGTTAATGATTTTCTGGCCATCTTCATGGCCATCTGCTGCACTCCAGTCTATGGCCCAGAGCAGCTGATTGCTAAGCTTTCCCCATATCTAGTTCACCCTATGAAGACCAACCGTGTTCTCCCCACATTGAAGCACATACATTTTCCCAGTCTTGCTTTGGGAACAGTAATCCATCAAGAACGTCATTCTTGGAAAGAGGATACCAATCAGCTGACCTAGGACTCCACTCACCAGATTCATTACCTTGGTCTTAACTTCTTTATATATGTTATCTTGACCAACTAGAATGTGAACTCTTGAAGATCAGGAACTGTATTGATTTTGTACCTGTGACTTCAGTGCTTAACACAGTAAATAATAAATCCCTTGTTAACTGATTGGCTTATTTAAAAAAAAATCATTACCCATTTGTGCAGTCAGTGCTTGGTATGTGCTAGAGAGATGATTTGGAGTAACTGATTTAGAACTAGCCTTCAAATCAGGAGTATTGAGCTTCAAGAACTGCCTCTAATTCAGACTGTTGGCGTGAACCTGGGCAAGTCACAGAATTTCTCATTATCCCAGACTTCTTAGAAGGGGCAGAGCAGTGGCTGAAGGGGAAGAATGAGTTTCCTCACAAGGAGTTCCTAACACTAATAAAATCACAGATCTAGTCCATCTGCCTCTCCATATGCTAAGTACACAAAGAAAAATAGCAGGAGTCCAATCCCTCAAGAAATGTTCATTTTATTACAATATTTTATATCCTTTCACAATTCTGGTCTTTGTTTTAGGAGGAGGTAAGGTGGTGAAAATTTACACATAGAAAAATACAACAGACTTACAAAGTACTATGTGATAGGATGGGTAAGCCTTGAAGGCATCTAGGGATTGTAAAAGGTTAAGGTGAGGCAGAACTGCATTCTAGGCATAGGGGACAGCCTGTGCAAAGACTCAGAGGTGGGAGATGGCATGCTGTATACCAGCAAGCAGGCCACTTTGGTTAGAATGTAAAATGTGTAATAAATATTGTGTAAGTTGGAATAAAAAGTATGTGTTAATATTGCCATGAAATGAATGAAAAGAGAGATAGGGAACAGCTTGTGGAAGCGATCAGATGTTAAGCTGAGGACTTTATATTTTATCATAGAGAGCACTAGTAATGGTCTCTAACTCCACAAATTGTTATGAGAGCTAGAGCTGGAGAAGGTCTCAAAGGCCATCTAGCCCAAAGCCCTCAATACTGAGCCCCAGGGAAGTAAAGTGACCTTTCCAAGGCTTAACACCATTAGACAAGTATGCAGTTTGAAATATGTGTGTGTGTATAGATATATGGATATAAATCTGTAGATATAGATCTGTATGAGGGGTTTTTTTTTGTTTTTGTTTTTGTTTTTCATTTTTTGTTGTTGTTTTTACTATACAACATTGCTGACGAAAGCTCCTTGGAATATAGACTCGCTTGGACTTGAAGTCAGCAGAGACCTGGGTTCCAATCTGATCTCTCCCAGTTGTTAAGCATGGGACCGTGGGGATTCCCTTTACCTCTCTGAGGCTCCACTGCCTCATATGTAATGAGGGCTAGTAAGAAAGCCCTGTAGCACCTCCACGTTGCCCAGGGTTGTGGTGAGGCTTGGCCAAAGTCTGTAGAGCACTTATAACAAACCTTAGGAGCTTCAGAGAAGGTGACTATCATTTTTGATGAGATGCATGCAGAGATAGTATGGGTGTAGGGGTCAAAAAAAAGTCTCTACTTGGTAACATTGACTCCATCCTTGGCCCCCCTCCTGGAATTCATGGTATTAAAACATATTTTTTTTAAACTAGGAAATACTTAAGCACATTATCTTAGGTGCAGCCTTTGTTTTAGGGTTCCTTGAATCAAGGAGCTATTTGGTCAGATACTGGGCAGCCAATGCAGATAAGCGTATCCTCTGAGAAGAACCCTGCTGTTCATTCAGATTCTCTTTGCCGTTTTCAGATCCAGGTATCTATGGAAAATAGCCAATTTCTAAACCCGCAGGCCTTTGCATTTCGCCAAAATGTGATTATTTAAATTAATGAAGATGAGATGAACTAAATAGAGAGAAAGACAGTAGGTTCTGGTGAATAGGATACTAAGCTTAGAGTCAGAAAGCCCTGGGTTTAAAGGCTACCTCTGACGGTTAGTAAATGTGCTACCCTGGGCAAGTCATTTTTCCTCTCAGAGTCTTGATTTCCTTACATGGAAAGTGAATGTAACAGTATCTACCTCACAGAGTTGTTCTGGTTCTTTACATAAATGGAACAATGCACATAAAGGGTAAATCTTAAAATGTGATATGTGTTGGATTTTTTTATTTAATCTAAACAGTAAGATTCTGATTCTACTTCTGTTATGATGCTCTCTGCACCCAATATAAGATTAAAAAAATAGAGATGGAGGGAAAAGGGGAGGAGGAATAAGGAGCTGGGACTGAGGGCAGCAGGTCCAGGTCTGCTCACTGCTCATCCTCTTCCCTTCCCCGTCTCCCACCTCTCAACCTGTCCCTAAGGGTCTTGCATGTGAGTTTGTAAGGGTGTGCAAAGGAGGAGGAAAAAAGTGAGCACAACTCATCGATGCGTTCAAAAAAAAAAAAAGGGCAATGTGTAACACCTGTGGACCGCTCACCTCCAGGAAGGGCTGGGGAGGAAGAACAGATAAGTCAGCCCTAGTGAATAACATTCAGAGGACAAGATATCTGTGGTCAGAGACCCTGACTCTGAGAACTTTCTGGTTTTTGCCTGCTGCTGTCTATGGAAGCACATCTTGTCTTAGAACACTAGGAGGAAAAGATACTTGTGACTGGCATGCACACTAGGAGGATACTCAGAGGATAAGACATTTGTGGTTGGAGATACATGTTCTCAGAACATTCCAGTTACTACAGGCTTGTGCTCTGTGGGAATTTAATCAGTCTCAGAACACTCAGAGAACAAGGTATTTGTGGCTGGAGACACACCCTCTCAGACCTACATCTCCTAGCTATCCTAGAACCAGAGGGAGGACAGTAAAAGCTGCTCTATCTGTACAGTCCCAAAGAGAAAGGAGCTGACACCAGGCAGGGATGCTGAGCCACATTTAGGGCTGGAGGGATCCCTGCATTGAAGTTTGCTGCAAGCAGGTCACCTTCAGAAGGAATCACCTGATTAGAGATTGGAATACTGAAGCAGGAGCCAAGCATCATGGTGCTGAATTTGGGAGAAAAAACTATAGCAAATCAGGAAGCCAAAGACAGATGAGGTAAATAGGTAATAGAAAGGGAAGTTACCCTACACTAATACTTGGGAATTTATATATGTCCAGGTGGGTTAGTGGGGGTGGTTCACTGCCAAGCCTCCCTAAACTCACAGTAGGATAAATTGCCTAGGCTCAAGGGTGGGGAACTTCCTGTCTTGAGGCCACGTGGGGCCTTCTAGATCTTTAAGTACAGCCTTTTGACTGAATGCAAATTTTACAGGAATGGGTTCCCCACCGCTGATAGATCCTCATAGGTATTGCAAAGCCCCCCTTTTTTTTTCTTCCTTCGTTTTTATGTTCTTGACTGCAGGCACTTTTTGCATTGTTATTGTACAAGTAATACCTTTCCTATAGTTAATGCTTTGGGTCTATTGAGCACTTATAGGGAAGTTGGGGGCTCTTTCAAGGAGATTGAATGAGCAAGGCCTAGAAGGTATTTAGGTATCGTCTAATCCAACTTTCTTATTTCATGTATTGCCCTCCCTAGATGAATTCACACAATCCAAAAAAAAAACAACAACAAATACTTAATTCATGGTTATTAATAATGCCTAAACC